CGATGTATCTATCTATCTATCTATCTACCTATCTATCCATCTATCTACCTACCTATCTATCTAGCTATCTATCTAGCAGTCTATCTACCTACCTATCTATCTATCTGGCTATCTACCTATCTATCTGCCTATTTACCTATCTATCTATCTATCTATCTATCTATCTGGCTATCTACCTATCTATCTGGCTACCTACCTATCTACCTATCTACCTATCTATCTATCTATCTATCTCTCTCTATATCTCTCTCTCTCTCTTTCTATCTTTCCATCTTTCCATCTTTCCATCTATCTATCTATCTATCTATCTATTATCCATCGATCTATTTACCTACCTATCTATCTATCTATCTATCTCTCTATCTCTCTCTCTCTATCTCTCTATGTCTCTATGTCTCTATCTATCTAATCTAATCTAATCTGATCTAATCTAATCTAATCTAATCCTATCTATCTATCTATCTATCTATCTCTCTCTCTCTGTCTGTCTGTCTATCTATCTGCCTACCTGCAAGCTTGAAAACGAAGCTATTCTGCGAGACTTCCTGAGTTTTTGAACTTGACAGCATCAAAACCGAAACAATTCTGCGAGACTTCCTCATTTTTCGAAGTTGACAACATCAAAAACGAAGCAATTCTGCGAGACTTCCTTCAAAAATGGAAAGTTGAGTGCAGAGCTGACGGCTTCGTGCCAATGCGTTTTGCGATTTTCCAGTCCACATGTCTAAAGTACTGCGCCTGCCACGAAGAAGTGATTCCAGGTCATATGAAGTGCTGCACCTGTCACGCAAAATCATCTCAGCAAACCTGAAGATCTGATGCTCCAAAATGCAACCCCTCTCACCGCCTAACAGCTCTGATGAAGATGTCTCTTGTACTGCGCCTGCCACGGAAAATGCATCTTTGCAGATCCTGTTCAAATGTCCCACACCTGCCATCGCTTTTGGAAATGCTACAAAACCCTCACGTTTTGGTCACTTTTGACAAGGTGCACAATCCCTTGCGCCTGCCACGCGAAACGACATCTGAACGTCCAAAAATGGTCCGAACCCCTAGTTTTTTGTACATTTTCACTTCGAAATGTGCTTCGCGCCACTACGGCGTGCACGATTTTGACATCTCAACTTCCAAAAGTGGTCCGAGCATGGTGTTCTTTGTACATTTTGACTTCGAAATGTGCTTCGCGCCACAATGGCGCGCACGGCATCTCAACTTCCAAAAGTGGTACGAACGTGAAGTGTTTTTGGCTTTTTCACTTGCAAATGTTCTTCGTGCCACAGCGGCGTGCGCTTTTTCGACATCTCAACTTCCAAAACTGGTCCGGAGCTTGTGTGTTTTGTACATTTTGACTTCGAAATGTGCTTGGCGCCACAACGGCGTGCAATTTTTCATCTCTCATCTGGCCAGATGGCTCCGCACCCGCCGCTTTAGCGAGCCTACTTCTCGACCCTCGGAAAAAAACACAGTGTTCAGCGACTTTTCTACCTTTTCGCGCACCTGCATCTTCTTTCTTCTGGCTCTTCCTCTTCTCTGATTTTCTCTCTCCTACTCTTCTCTCTTCTACTCTTCTCTTCTCTCTGACTCTTCCCACCTCTGCTTTTCATCTGTCCATATTGTCGGAAGTTTGACTTCTAAACTTCCTTCGAATATAGTACAAATTAACACAATATAATAGAATAGCACAGAATAGAATATTATATGACGTGATATAATATGACATAACATATTACAAAATATGTTTGTCTAGCTACTGTTGGATATTGATGGAAAAACACACCACCCATGACCGGAGTCCAACCATGTATGGAGATCGTTCCTGCTGGGCTGCTTTGCAGGTTCTTCACGTCCATCAAACCTGTTTGTAGGGAGATTGATTTGGAGGAAGCACACCTACCGAAGCTTCACCGCCTTCATATACATGGCATGGGGAGAGTCTTGCACCAAAAAGTGGATGGGTTGATTGCTTGAACTAGATGGCATGTTTCAATGCTTTTTGGGGCCCAAAATTTCACCCATTGCCACACATATAGGGAAGGTACAAACGATCTGGGAGGCTTTGGCTAGCTGACGCTCAGAGATGTACTTTTCGTGGCCAAGCCTCGTCAGCATCAGTACCTTCCAGAATTAGAACGGTTTCCGATGCGTGTTCTCCAGGGATCCTGTCTCAAGATCTTGTTGGTGGTTTCAACTCTGAAAACACAAACTTAAGAAACATAACCTTAAGGATTGCCTTTATTTGAACACAGTTTCGAAAATGAATTGAAATCGAAACCACTTTGCTGACCTGACCATGGGTCCTAGCCTCCTTGCCGGGTCGTCAAGGCCATATGGCCGGGAACTCGCATGATCGAGGTCGTGAAAAAATTTGGTACTGGGACGCAGAAAGCTCTCAAAGCTCTGGGCCGGAAGATTCCAAGAAGATTCCAAGAAGGTCTATAATACAATAATAACATGCAAAGATAGAAATAATACAAACAAAGCAATATCGCATACAATAACAGAACTTAATATACTGCAGTACAATACCATGTCAAGCAATCCAACAGCATATCATTAAATATAATTTCAACCTAGTTGATACAATTTAGTCGTGTATATATATATGTATAACAACAAATAATATAGTGTAATATACAACAGAAAATAAATTTAAAATAGTAAAACAAAATATGATATACAATGGTTCATAAAATGCAACAGAAACATAAAAGTAAAATACGGTATAGTGCTAAAAAATCAAAAGCCCAATGCATACAAGGTAATATCATGAGCACAAGTACTATTGCATAAGAAAACTGAATGCAACAGAACTTAAAATAACATAACATAACATAATACCTTTTAGTCTGACAAAGTACAATCAACTAGATTAAAAATGCGAGCGAAATGGGGTGCAGCACAATGCAATACAACAGGGCTACCGCACACCCATGGAGATGTGCACGGCCAGTTTTCAAGCGCTGCCGCGGTGGCACAAACCCAAGCTCTAAACTAATGGATGTGCCTGTTAAACATGTCAGAAAGTCTCTTTGGCAGGTAGACATTGGTAGATATTACAACGCATTAAAATAGAGTGCCAAGAGCTATTAAAAAAAACATGATACATTTACATACAATATTATATACCACGGTATGGAACACAACATGTAAATCCACCACATGGAATAATAGGATAGAATTCACTACAATGAAAGAAATAACGCATACACAACACCATGTCACAAAAAAAGAAATATACAGTAAATGATGCATCGCATGGTAAATCACATAATGTATCACATAATGTATCAAATTAGGTATGTAAAGATATGAAATGATATGATATGATATGACATGACATGATATATAATGAACTGCTATGACGAACTATGATATCAAATGAACATGACACACTATGAAACGAAAAATCGTAATACCAAAATGTAACATATGTAATGCAGTCGTAACGTTTTCAAATCAGATTGTATGCATCATATTAGGAATGTAAAACCGTCTATTGTAACATTTCATGTAACATTGCACCATGTTGTACTTGGAATTAAACTCAAAATGAGTCAGTGTCCATGGCTCCCTTAGAATATCAAAATGTAAACATGTTTTACCATCAGTGGAAAATGGAGCATTGATAGCTTTATTGAACAATGGCGATTTCCAATGCGGCCCACCAGGTTTGAGAGAAGATGAAGTTATCCAGCAGTGCAGCATGCTGGAGGGGCCAGCGCAAAATAAGGAGTTTACAATGGCCGCCAGTGCAGTGCACTCGAATCAGGGTGGTTCGCTGTGGAGAATTGGTAATGAAACTTATGCACAGGGGTGCTTTTGAGAGACTAGATCACACAGCTGTCACAGAATGCTTGCCCTGCCTTTGAATAAAATCAAGACAGATACATGATACATACAATTACAAGCAAACACATACATATATTCCATACAAAAAACCAACATCTATAATAAACAATCCCCAATTTTTTGGAAATGGTCTCGACTCCTTCATGATTTTCGGGCCCCTTGAGTGATGAGGTGATCCCACATTATGCAGGCCTGGTGACCTGGTGACCCAGCGGTTGGTCGCACAACTTATTTCGCATGCATCCGGTGAAAACCTTAGTTTTGTGGTTTTATCAATTTTGACTAAAAATAGGCTACTACATGCTACGACCCCATTCCATCCACTGGTTGATCCTTGATTATCGTTTTCCCTAAAAGGCAATCATGCACCAGGGTCGCATGGTGGGTGGTTTGCACGGTGATCCCCAGCTCATGGATTATGAAAATCACCATGATACAACAAGAACAACTTTTTACAAATAGACGCTCTGCGCTCAGAAACTCTTACACTGAGAAACCTTTACACAGAGCAGCTTTTACACGCTGTAAAATCGCAATTTACCTCAGATTTTGACGTTCGACCATCATTCCGTGCGAACGGGTTGCGCCGGGCAAAAGATCTCCGCAGAGGGTTGCGCGCGACCAAGCAAAATTCGCATTTTACCACACATTTGGACGTCCCACGATGTCCCACGCGCAGAATCTGTGCAGAAGGTCACGTTTCGATGGGTGTGCGCTGCCCCGTGTCGGCATAAAAGAGAAAAATAGAAAGGTCGACATTGTAGGCGTTTTTGTAAGAGTTCTGTAGGATTTAGATAGAAGTCGATCACTTACAAGTAAATTCCTGCGTAAATGACATTGTAGATGTTTTTGTAGGAACTCACAGAAGTTGATCACCTACATGTGAACACTTCTGTAGATGATGTAGATGATGATCAAATTGAAGGTGGCAAAATCTGATTGCCAATTCCAACTTTTCACCAACGTGGAGGCTTGGTTTTCATAGGCGACAAAACATACTGATCCCAACATTCTGGGAAAACTGCCGTCCGGGAATCAAATATAGCAACGGGAAAATCCCCTATGAATAGGCATTTTAAATGAGAAATTCATCTATCAGCAGATGTTTCATACCGCAAATCAGCATAGTATGGGATGATTAAAAAAAAGTGGGACGCTCTCCGTAAAAACCTGCTCTCCACAACGTCCCTTTCTGTGAACAAAATGCCCTCGCGGTGGTTTCAGACTACTGCCCTCTTGTTCAGACAACTCAGTATGGTTTTGCCTCGGATCTGGATTTTCAGATGTAGGTAAATCATTAAATCAGTCATGAAAAAAATCCCCTATCCTATCCCATTCTACCGGTTGGTAAATGTGTATCCTCCGATATCCCTCTGATCTTATTAATGCCTGGAATAAACCGGTTTGCATAGCACCTTGCATTAGTAAATCAACAGAATTGTTGTTGCAAACCTGGCGCTGGGAATTTCCCTCGCACCAAGTGAAACTTTCAAGGAATTACTTTAAGTATCCTGAAAACTTGTGCCATGATTAAACCATCAAAATCCACACGACGGCGCGGTGGAGGGATGGCGCTTTTTAGAGCAAAGGGCGCCCTGCGAGTCACGGGCACATGGTTTCATGACCACCACTGCCATGCCACTGCCTCACATCCATGCCTCATGACTGGAAATTTCACACCCTTCCTAGGTGGTCATTTCAGCCTTATGTTCACGGCTCCGTTGATTCCTAGCATGACGTGAAGCTCGGATCATCATCTTGCGATCCTGGGCATCTTTTGTCACAGGGAATTGGCCTATCTCTAATGCGGGCTCTCGTTCGCAGCCCAATTTGGTTCAAACATCAGCCAGCATGGTGGACGTGTCTGTCCAATGTGCATACATGCTGCTTTCATCATCCTACTCATTTGTGCCGATCATTTCCTTGATGTGTGCACACAAAATTCGCACTCGCTTGTCGCTGGGTTGTCCAGCGTCTTTGTTCAGTGTTGCCTCTAGGCTCTTGGCATCTGTGAAACATGCTATCTTAGATTTTTCTGTACATGTTCTCTAAGTCACAAATGCGGCTCTCAGGGTGAAGGATCTCCAGCAGCAGCGATCGGAGGAAATCAGCAGCTTCAGCGCCAGCTAAGAAGCCATTTGCTTCAGCAGCCAATGTGGAGCGGGAGACGCTCTTGATGCTTCCAGAGTAGGCTTCCAAATTTTAGATTGGGGCTATGTCTCCTTCTACCAACTTATGGGATGCAAAACTTACCAGGTATCGAGGATCCACATTGAGATTTCAAGTTGTCACCATTCGCAAAACTGCTATCTGATATCTGCGAAACAAAAGACTACGCAGTCCTCCAGCTTCAGATCAGATGCTTCGAACTTCCATGTGGCATCTGCGGTTCCCTTGTGCATCTTGACAGTTTTGTTCAGCTGGATGACGCCGCTGATCTCCGGTGCACTCATCGCTTGGGCAGCCATAGAAACATTCACCATCACATCGGGGCGTGATTGACGAGCCACCCACCCAAGTTGCCCGATCAGGGCTCTCAACTGCGAAACTTCAGTCGCAGTCAAACTTGCAATCGCTTTTCCTTGGTGAGCTGCATGTAGCCAATGCCCTCGATGGCATCGATCTGGTCGATCTCGATGCTACCATTCTTTTGCACCAGGTTCTTTCCACAGAATCTGAACTTCTCTTGCTTGACCTTCAGGTGAATCTCCTTTTCCATGGAGTCGATTGTTGATTATGATTTGAGCTAAGGGCCTTCTCCAGCACAAAACAAACCATCCACGCGGGTGATGAGGATGCCGCGAAGCTCGCCGCCCACAGCCAAATAGAAAAGAGTACGCTCGATCCTGCTCATGATCCAACCATGGGCTTTCAAGGTTTTGAAGAGCTTCTTCCACAAACCCGTAGATGGATCCCTTAGCTCTCAACAAACCGTGGAGAGAAATGCGGAGGAGGTCGTGGACGCCTCAGGATCAAAAGTCTGCTCATGCCTTGGGACTGAAGGCATGCAGTTGAAGCATTGCTGTCCCAAATAGTCCATCCTCTCAAAACAGCTATCACGCAAACCAGGTTGAAGGAAAGGAGAGAAGCAGTTGGGGAATCTGACCTGATTGTGTTTCCATCTTCTTGATTTCCTTGTTTTTCAAGCCATTGGGAACCTCGAGGTTGTTCCTAAGAAGACATGGCGCTTAATCCTGAGGCGATGAAAAGCAATCTCGTTGACATTCTTGCAGATCTTGCGTCCTTCTTGTTGTTGATGAAGAACAGTTTCTGCAGCTTTGCCACCACGAGTCAAGTTGAAACGCCTCCAATTGCCCCATGGGCCGCATGGTTGTGTCAAAACCAAGCAGTAGGGGTCTTCCTTGCGCAAGTCTTGGTTGAGATGCTTGATGCCAGCAGTTGTAGATACGTCCCACTTGGAACTTGTCGCATCAAGTGGAATACCAATCATAATGCCAGCAATGGCACAGAGCATAGTGAGGCTCATCTGCCCTGCTAACAACTGCTTGATCCAAGTCTTGCCAAATGGTGGCTTTGAGCTGACAGGCTGCTTTCCGGTAAATGTGCGAAAATGTTGCCAGTCATCTCCATCAACTGCAGTGGAAAGAGCAGCAAGCTTCTTGCTCTTGCGGCCAGAGGCTTGCGGATGGTGACATGGTTTTCTGCCATGAGCTGATGGAAGACATTGGTATCCTTGGTTGTAAGTCCACCTGCACGAGGATCAACGGACTCGCTGACATAGCCGTCTTCCCTGAGCTCTTGCATGACCCGATCATAGTTGGCAGCTTCTTGACGCAGAAAGTCTAATCCGTCCACATAGTCATGCCAGTCATCAGGTTCTATCCTTCAGGGACATCGTCGTAGATATCGATGCCATAGGCCTCAGGGCCGGGATCATCGTAGAAGTCGTCAGGCTGGTCATTGCCTGGCTGGCCATCTTCAAGTGCGGTGCCCTCTGAAGAAGCCCTCTCATCCTCAAACTCGGCCAATCTGCTGCGGTCGAAATCCAGCAGGCTAATGGCTAAGTGTGGAGTTGCCAACATCAATGACTGTGCCAAGCTTCTGCATAAAGGGCCGTGATAGAAGCAACGGCGCAGCACCAGGGACTTCGGCTGAGCAAATCTTACCATGTACACCAGAAATGCCGACAGGATACACCTTGACGGTGACTCTTCAGCTGCCTTCCACTGCCTTTGAAGGCTTGGTTGAGGATCTTGGCCGGACTTCATAATCCTCAGGCCTGCAGAGTGAGCAAGCTTGACCCTGCCAAGCAGGTAAAACGCAAAACGAAACTGCTCTGAAGAGAGGGGCTCCTTGTTCTCGAGCGCTGCCACCAAAACATGCTGACAAAACCAATTGCCATCAACTGTCGATGAAACCTGAGCAAACGTTGCTCCAGGATAGGGCGTGTCTGGGCCCAAAACATCATGGTCAGATGGGAGAGGCTGCAAAACGTCGGTGTCCTCATCTCCAAGCATCGGAAACTTGGGCAAGTTTTCGCCAAGCATCAGGCAACTCCATACAGCCAAAAACCTTGGTGGTGCTGTCGTTTGATCTTGGCTTGGGGATATCCACCTGAAGAGGCTGCATTGCCAGAAAACGCAGGTGGTGATCCAGGGGCTCTTGAACTTCCAAGCAACTGCCATGACGGTGAAGTTGGTGAGGTGGAAGCAGATCCATCACCAGGAGGCCCACGTTCTTGAGCTTCAAGAGCTTCACCTCGAACACGGCAAACACGTTGAAAAAGTCCATGAGATCTCAAAGATTGCCGCCGCCTGGTTGTCGGCGCAATCATCGCCACGTAGTGCCATAGATCAACTGCATCTGTTCTCTTGCCCTTGATCACGACCTTGTTGCAGTCACGTTCCTTGCAGGTGACATACCTGCTTTGGCCATTTGAACCTCTGAAGAAATTGTTCTCGGTGCCACCATGATATGTCGAGTGCTCGCGTAGGGCTTCATCTCTCAGCACCATCAGCACCTCATGCGCTGATGCATGAAAGGAATCGGTGAAACTTTTGGCAGTCGACTGAGCAGAGTTGGTTGCATTGGGCTCGGAGTCGATGCTACTGTGGAACAAAGCTTCTTCTTCTTCTTCTTCATCTTCTTCTTCTTCATCATCATCATCATCATTATCCTGCTGCTTCACTTCATCTCACCATGGCCTTGTGCAGGAAGGCTATCGTAGGTGTTGCCGCGGAAGCATCATGGGTCGGCTGGTTCTTGCGGTCTTCATCAGACTCGGTCGCATCATGCAGAACGAAGAAAGTGGTTGAAGGCTTTTTCTTCTGGGGAGAGTGTGACAGTGGCTTCTTGGGACCAAACTTTTGCTTTTCCTTTCCCTTCTTGCTTTTGTTGGGGCATTCATCGTCACCTTGCCAGTGACCTTTGCGTCCACAGCTCGTGCAAGGGGTGACGGACTTGAGGAACTTCACGGCGTTTTGCCTGTTCTTACGAGCGTTTGCCTCAAAAGACATTTCACCTTTGGGCACGACAGGGGAAGCTCTTAGCGCCAGATTCATGTGAAGCCGTAGAAGAGGAACCAATGATCTTCTTCTTGGACTTGTTCTGGATGATCGTTGCAAGAGCTTCTGCAACTTGGGGATCATCTCACTGCCAAGTTTCTGGAACAGCGTGTCCAGGGTCTCATCATCGGAGTAGTTGTAGTCGTCTGGCGAGCCATCATAGTTGCTGGGCTCAGGCTCATCTGCGGCCTCATACACAGTCTCCATGTCATAGGGCTCGGAAGCCTCAGGGTCATCGTCATCACCATCATCATCATCATCGTCATCATCATCATCATCATCATCAGCAGCAGCAGCAGCTGCTGTAGCCAGAGCATAGTTTTTGCCACCTCGGCCACCACCAGATTTCCACTTACCGCGCAAAAAACACACATAGCAGCTTCACGTCGGCCATGTCCCCATCCAAGTAGGCCGCGCTTGTGCACATACTTCCCAATGCTGTTGGGGGAACTGGATCCGAAGAGCATGCGAGAGCTTCTTGAAGTCATACTCATTGTTGCACGAAGAAAGAACTGCTAAATAAATGCTCCTTGGAGCCCGGCCAGCAAACGTCATCAGCATCATTGCACATACCTGCTCAGGGACACTGCTTTTTGGAAGAACTTCCTCATGTTGGAAGTCCGGCTCACGACGCGCTATGTACTGCTGCATGGTCTCAGCGGGCTTTCGCCAGATTCCTGGGTCATACAAGCCCTTCAGGAAGGCCTTCAGGAACAGTTCACTCACTCGCGCAGGGACT